GTTTCTGCCAGGAAGAGCAATGGCAAGCTGCCAGGGACAAAGAAGGGACTACTCCCCCTAATCCCAGGTTCCACTGTTCTCAAGTCTCATGTTACTATTTAAAATAACTAAGGAAATTCAGCAGAAAAAAGACTTTGCTAAGATGGAGTTAAGATTTCAGCCACATGACACTGCCTTGAGTAGTTATCTTGCATGCTGTCACCTTATTCCCTACTTCCCAGTTTTCTGGCATTTGCCATTCCTTTATGGTAAGAGACACATGGAGGAACTTAACTCTGCGTTTTCTGATTTTCTAACGTTTGAACTTGGACATTTAACTCATGTCCAGGAAAGGTATGATCAGCACTAGGCAATGTTATGCGGCCACAAGCTTAACTCCACCTTAATTATTTTTTTCCTCTGGTGAATAAATATTTATATATTTTTAAAATTTCAAAGTAACTGGTCATGGCAAATATTTGCAAATTCAACAGGGAGAAGAGACCTGGAACACTCATGAGTAAAAAGAAGGGGCATGGAGAGAGGGCAATGGCCTACAAGAGGTATAGAGTGAAGGCCTGGAAAAGGAGAGCAATTACACAGAATAGCATGGAGCCAGGATGAATGAATAGAGGAGCAGGAAAGCAGAGAAGGGGGACTAGGAGGACAGGCATGCTGGATAGCAGGAATATCTTAGGCTGTACCTCTCGAGCCCCTCGGCTTTTCTGCGCTTTGGCTCTCAAGCGCAATGTCTTTCCAACTTTCTTGCTCCCTGACTCCCCTGAACAACAATCCTCTAGTGTTCCATGCAATTGGGGAGCCAGTGAGACCTAGGTAGGCTGGGGGCGAGGAACTTGCAAACTACAGTGGAGCAGAGAATGATAGAGACTGTATGCTGATTTAAGCTCACTATTGCTCAGCCTACCTAACCCCAGCCCCATTTCTCCCACCACAATCCTTACTCTCTATCACCCACTGGCCTTATGACTTATCAGAGCAGAGCACCACTCTGGTAAACCACAGGAAGTTTGTCAGATAAGTACTATTTCAGTAGCAGACCTTGAAGTTATGCTTGCCAGGGTGTGGATGAGGAAGTGCCAAGGAACTGGGGTGCCAGAAGGGACCAGGAAATTCCTGGGATAGCTGGAGGAGCCACAGGGAACAGGAAAGGCAGAAAACCTGTGAGACAGACAGGCTGGGCAGCCATGAGTCTATCTGGCTCACCTGGATATACGTAGATGACAGCTGGCGAGTTGAAACAGGCGGGACAGCATCAGAAAATGGTAGTAACAGAATGAGCTGTTCCATCGGCTAACCTCAGTGAAACTCAAATAGGCTATCTTGTGTGTTTAATTTTAAAATGTCAGAAATTTTCTACCTCAAAGATACTATCAGAATGTGCATAGGATATCAGAATGCATACTTGTGTGATGACTGGGGTTTGTGGTTGTTAGCAAAAGGAACCAAAGACATGAAACAAGCCAATTTTTCAAAAAAAGAAACATTTTCAAATGTTTCCTCTGCAAAAATTAGTTAAATTTCACTGCAAAAGTTACATAAGAAGTTCAACTGTCCCTTGGAGAGTTATTTTGTCAGATTTGGAGACTAAATTGAATATTCATCATATAAAACAGAGGTAGTGTATTTTAGTCATGCTTTAAATTGATATCACAACACAAAATTAACTAAAGAATCACTAGTAAAGCCTCCATAATTAGTGCCTAAACATTCTGACTTATTAGGTCATTAATTTTTTTTTTTTTACAATAGTTATTGGTATAAAATAAATCTTAAAGCCTGACTATATATTTAGAGAGGTGCAAAACAGGGCCTTATACACCTGCAAAAATGGAACCAGTACCTGATCTGAACTTTCAAATAAAAATATTCATCCCAAAACATGGAAAGATCTATATTTTTAAACTTTCCTGCTGCGGTAAACATGGCACTAGTGCAAACATGACCCTACTTATTGCAATCAAGCCCCTAAATGCCTGTAGTTCAATATTATTTAGGAGACCAAAGTAGTCAGAGTTGTACTGGTGCCATATTCTGTTGTATCTGTAAAAAACAAGTATTCAGTTCCTATGCCAGACATGCAGGGATATATCTAGTAAAATCATCTACTGCGTGATTTAACAATATGCATGCCTGCAGATCACAGTTTAAAAGCAAGGCCCTGATCCTGCAACTGACAGAAGCACCAGCACCCATGCCAAGTCCCATTGACTTCAGTGGGGCTCTTGGGGGCAGTCCAGCAGTCTGTCCACACCATGTGTTGCAGGATTAGGGCCCGTTTTTATGTATTTATTTGAGATCACAGACTGTTCTCTTCACTTATCCTCTTAAGACACCTGCTTTATTGCAGAAATGTTGTGGTTCTTTGTATATGTAAATAGGGCTGTATTTTTGTGTTTAGTGTTTATTTGCTGTAGTCTCAATTTGTTTGTTTCTTGTTTGTGTAAGGAAAGGGTTGTTTCTATTTTTTCCATATTTTTAAAAAATGCACACTGTGAGTAATCTTTCAGGAGAACTAACTTCATGTGAAAGTTGAGCTTTTTTTATTTAGTTATCTGTGCATGTAAAAAAAGTCCTACACAGCTTTTTGGGGGAGAAAAGTATTTTCCTCACACTCAGTCAAAAGAGTTAAATTAATTTTCTCTGTTTTTTAAAAATTTATCTTTAAAGTAAGGCCGTGAAAAGTTACAGCCCAAAGCAATACTTTCCTCTTAAAAACAAACAAGATCAAACTGGGGGTAAATGTGAAAGGTAATTTGCAACTATCTATAGCTGTAATGAAAATTTCATTTCTGTAATTCTAAAGATTAGATTAATGCCAAGATTGCTAAATGTTAATAGAAGTGTCACTGATTTACATAAAATCAGTATCTGCAACCTTTTATGTACTGGTTACCTACTATATTGCCACCCTTACTTATCTATGGGACTACTGCCATAGTAAAGTCATACTACTGATCTACTTATGTAGTAAAACACTGAATGAAAGGCAGAATTGGCTCAGACTATACACACTATAATTTTATGCTACTAAAATATATTATAGTACTGCTTCTATTAACTTCTTCAATTTGGAATGGACATTGATCAGTTACTCAGATTTTATCCAAAGTATCAACCTAAAAACACTGCATTTTTCTTTTCAACAAGATAATACAAGGGACAGTTCAAGCAAAACTATTTCACCTAAAGCTGTTCAAACTGAAATCCACACCCCTAAAGTGTTAATCATGTTTTCTGGGACTGTGTTTTTGTTTAAATGAGTTTGTGCCTGTTTCAGAGTAATCAATCCATAAGGAAAATCTGTAAACTTCCTAAAATGTATAATGCATTTTGACTGGGTTGAATTTGCATATCTACTGTAAAATGAGAAGGCATATATTTTATCTCTACTATTTTTCTTTTAATTATGGTAAGTGTATGGTGAACACACCTTGCTATAAACTATTAATAGGGGTAATCCAGATAGTAAGCAGGATCGTCTCTAAATGTATTATTTATAAGGCATGTTTAATTTATTGTTAGGGCATTATGTTCTTCTAGAATTAAAAAATAGTATAAATAGATGTGAAGAAATGTAATAAGTTAATGGTACAATTAATCTATTAAATTGAAGATATTTAAACAAAGCTATAAAATAAGAATTTACCAGTTTTCCCAGTGTAGGAATAAGTATACTAGTGAGCATAATTTTTGAAAGACACTTTACATGTAACAATTTAAGCTATAATACTGATTCTGAAGAATTTCAAATTAGAAATATTAGTCTCTAGTGAAATAGTGGTAAAGAATTCTTGGGCCCCAACATCACCACAGATTCTTAATGTGAAAATGTGAACCAAATATTTACAAAACCTGAAACAATGTTCTATGGTAAAAAGTGCATGTTCCATTAATATTTGACTGGTATGCAAGTATACCTTTTAAGCAAGTTCTTTGGACAATTTATGATGCTGTCACAGTTCAAGACTAGTGATACAATATTATTACTTTTTAATGTATCTTCCCTTGAACTCTTCAAATTTATTTAAAGGTAGCCTTCTCCATCATTAACTTTTATATGCAGTAGCACTTAGATTACTTTAAAATTAAAGATGGGAGGGGTAATCATGAGACTAGAAGTTAAACAATCCAGAGGCTATTCCAGATCAGGGATACACTGTGTGTTTTGGGAAAGACATTTAACCTATGTGGGCCTCAGTTTCCCTACCAGTAAAAAAATAGGATTAATAATTCTTACCCCCCAGGGGTGTTTTGAGGTTTAATCAGAGGGTGTGTCATGTTTTTCAATCATCTGATAAGAGCACTGTACATGGTTGGGGAAGTCTGCGGGAAGGTTGGGCTGCTGTTGCAAATCACCATTACAAGGGCACTCATGCGCTCTCTGTCCACGTGCCCTGAATGACGGGGAGTGGTGAATTTTTGGGCAGTGGCTAGGAAGGCCAGAGCTGTCTGAGGATAGGATCTGGATTTCCAACCACAGTTGCAGAAAAGAAAGGGAGGGAGCCAGAACAGAGCTCCTTCCATCAAGAAAAGGACTCTGGTTTGCTGCGCATGGGGATTGAGAGGTGGCAAAGAAAACGTCAGTCAGACCTTAATCTGCATAAAAAAAGATCCAGTTAAATGTGGCGGGTGTAATCTGGCGAGAAAAGGAGGTTAAATATGGCCCTAGTGCGAGGCGTCCTGCACAGATAAAAACATTCTCTTCCACCTGACGAGCAGCACGGGGCGGGGGGTAACAAACACAACGGTGACAGTCAACAGACACCCGCTGCAAAGTGCATTGTATGGCAAGAGATGGAACCAAAAAATGAGATGTCAAATGCATGCAAGAAAATGCCCCTGTACTCAGGAGTCCCGCCACCCCCCTTCTCCCCCCGCCCTATTAACCCCCCACTTCGCAGCCTGGAGGGGACCTGGCCCCCAGCCCCGCACCCCCGTCACCCGCATTAACCCACAGCATCACCGGCATGAGACGCGGAGAGAGAAGAATGTTACTCGACCTTTCGTCCCCCGCATGGTGCCTGTCAGAGTCGGGCATGTTTGGGCCAAGGGCTGGGTTTGGGGGGTTGGCGAACAGGCTTTCAAAGGCCATGGTGCGGGCCCTGGGGTGAGCGGAGGAGGAGGGAGGTGGAGGAGGAAGGCAGGACACTGCTGCTGCCCGTGGTGGTGGTGAGGAGGAGGAGGAGGAGGCGGCGCGCACTCGGCGGCGCAGGAGGCTCGCTGAGGAGGCGCAGGAGGAGGAGGAGGAGGGTCGGTCCCTCAGCGAGGAGAGATGATGAAGGTTTCACTCACGGTTACTTAGTGAGACACTAACAGTCACTCTGTGCAGGAGGCTGCACAGGGTGAGCCCGGCCGCCCCGCGGCCCGCTCTGGCAGTCCGCGCGGGCCGGCGGGGCCGGCGGCGCGGCGGCGCGGCCCGGAGGAGCAGGCCCGGGGCACAGGAGGAGGAGGACACACGGGGGGAAGGGAGTGCTGGTGGCCGGAGATGCCCGGTTATTTCTTCCTTACAAACATGGCGCCCGCCCGCCCGAGACACTCTCACAAAATGGCGGCGGCGCGGCCCGAACGCGCTCAGCGCCTCGGCCAACAACAACAGCTTCTTCCGCGCCAGGAGGAGTCGGAGGGCGATGGCGTCGTACCGCCGTCGCCGAGCCCCGCCCCTGCGCTCCCATTGGGCCGCGCCGCTAGCGTCACGGAACGGGAAGCCGACCATTGGGAGAACTCGCTGCCGATCGCAGGACGCGAGGAGGCGGGCCTTACCGATCACCGCCCTCCCCTTGGTCAGATTGAAAGGCATGGCTAGGTATAGCGTCCTCCTCCGCGGCGCAGGGATATCTCAGGGCAGGGAGAGGAAAAAAGTCCGCCTGTGTCACGTGTCTTTCAAGGCGCTAAAGGGGGAGAGGGCGGGACCGAGCCTGTGGCAGGGCGCAGGGTCTGGCCCAGGGCTGGGGGGAGGTGCAGACCTCTATTGCCAGTGCCCAGGAGCATTGGGTGGTGCCCGTACCCCAGCAGATAAATAACAAACCCAGTGGCTGTAACAAACCCACCGCACCTGGTGTTTGACCCTCCGGGGAGCCGCCTGTCCCCACCCATGGGTGCCCCCCTCAGGTCCGCAGCCCAGCCCGCTGTGGCAGAGCACATGGCGACGTGGGCCCTGGCTGCCTGCCTGAAGGGGAACACCAGACATCCTCTTCCCCGCTGTGGCTGTCTGCCCAGCCCCAGCCTCCCATAGCCCTGTCCTGCCAACCCCAGAGCTTCCAAAATCATGGCCCGTTGGGGTGACAGGTAGTGTTGCCCACACTCCCAAATATGTATTGGGTAAGGCGATTTTGGACCGTGCTGCAGGAGCTCTCACCCCATGTCTCCCCGTCCACTGTCCAACAGCTATTTCTACCCTCAAATCAACCCCGTCTTTACAGTGCCTACATCAGTTCTCACCCCCACCAGCTCCCACCCAGGCCCGGCATTGGTTCTCTCCCCACATCAGTTCTGTCTGACCCTTAGCCCCCACATCTGCCCCGCCCCCAATCTCTCCATCCGTTCAGCCCCCAACCAGCTGCTCCTAAATTATGCCCACACACACCAGCTTTGCCTCAACAGACCCAGCTCTGCTCTTCCTGGGGTTCTTTAGCCACTCTCCCACTGCTGCCCTCCCCAGGTCTGGGAGCCAAGTGTGGGGGCAGCTCCAGGGTTTCTTTACCCCTGTTGCCCCTTCCTAGGCCAGGGAGTGCAGGGAGCTCACAGATAGGGTTGCCAACCCTCCTGGTTTCGCCAGGAGTCTCTCGGAATCAGGTCCTATCTCCCAGAGGCTACTGAAGCCAAACTGGGAGATTTTAGGTGCTAAAACTCTGGCAGCGCAGCAGGGCTAAGGCAGGCTCCCTGCCTGTCATGGCCCCACACCGCTCCCAGAAGCAGCCAGCATGTCCCTGTGGCCCCAAGGAGGTGGGGGGGGGGCAGGGGTCTCTGCGCACTGCCCACGCCCCAAGCACCGACTCCTCAGCTCCTATTGGCTGGGAACCGTGGCCAATGGGAACTGCGAGGCCAGTGCTTGCAGGTGCGGGCAGCATGCAGAGCTCCCTGCCCCCATTCCTCAGGGCCAGACATGGCGGCCGCTTCTGGGAGCGGGGCCAGGGCAGGGAGGGAGCCTGCCTTAGCCTCGCTGCGCTGCCACCTGGGAGCTGCCCAAGGTAAGCGCCTGCTGGCTGGAGCCTGCACCTTGCACCTCCTCCTGCACCCCAACCCGCTACCCCAGCCCGGAGCCCCCTCCTGCACTCAAACTCCATCCCAGAGCCCGCACCTCTTACCCCCTCCCACACCCCAACCCCCTGCCCCAGCCCTGAGCCCCCTCCCGCATCCAAACTCCCAGAGCTTGCATCCCACACCCCGTCCTGCATCCCAACTCCCTGCCCCAGGCTCAGCTCGGAGACCCCTCCCACACTCCAAACCCCTCGGCCCCAGCCCAGAGCCCACACCCCAACCCCCTGCCCCAGCCCAGTGAAAGTGAGTGAGGGTAGGGGAGAGTGCGCGACGGAAGGAGGGGGGGTGGAGTGGGCGTGGTCCCGGAGAAGGGGTGGGGTAGGGGGGGCACAGGTGTTTGGGTTTGTGTGATTAGACAGTTGGCAACCCTACTCATGGGGGGGAGGAGGTGCAGAGGGGACCTTGCTCAGAGCAAGAGGTAGGGATGCCCTGAGCTGCTGCGCTCTTTCTGCTCTCTCCCCTCCCCTCCCCTCCCCTCCATGAGGAGAGGGAGGAAGTGTTCTGCCTGCTTCCTGTAGCAGCCCTGATTGGCTGCTCTTCACCAGGAGGTGGGGCAGTGGGGAAAGCAGCCAATCAGAGGGGTTTTCCCTCCAGTAGGACTGAAATTTGTTAGTGGGCTGGAGCATCTCCCATCATCACCAGACTGGCTACAACCCCGGCCAATCCAGGAGAGAGGTGTGGTCTAAGCCACGCCCCCTCTGAGAGATTTAGGCACCAGCTCCCGGATGGAGGGAGGTGACTTTCTCTGCTTGAGTTTCACAACCATGAACCTCATCCCCTAGAGTTAGTCACCCCCAGTCACGTCAGCCCTTTCACACAACAAAACCAAGGTGGAGGAGGAGGATTTGGTGCCCGCCCCATATGCTATAACTCAGTGGTTAGAGCGCCCACACAGGATGTGGGAGACAGGGGACTGCACACGTTAGTATGAGGCTGACGCCAGGGCTTCAGCGTGAGCTTGGGGCTGGGTGTCAAGACTTAGGCAGCTCTGGGCATGCCCAGCAGCAGAAATTTAGGCGCCAAGGGGACTTTACTGGTAGAAATGTAGGCACCTAGGGAATTTAGGTGCCAACAGGGTGAGGCAAGGTGGGTGAGGTAACAGACGTTGGTCCAATAGAAGATATGATCTCACCCACCTTGTCTCTCTAATATCCTGGGACTGACATGGCTACACCTACGTACACTTAGGTGAGCTGAGCAGAGGGGTTGAGAATCTAAATTTTGGATTTTGGCACCTAAAGTGGCAGTTAGGGGCCTAAATTTCTTTGTGGATGCAGCCCCAAGTCTCTTTCCACTCTCTTATTCTCCTTCTATGCTCCTCATGAGTCTCCTGTCCTCCACCTGTCCCCTACATTCACTTGCCCCCATGTTTACCTTTGTTCCTCCTCAAAGCCTCCTGCCCCTCACATAGTCTTTCTCTGCTATCCCTGTTACTCCATCTCCTCTTACTCTCCATATTCTCTGTCCCCTGGGTCTCATTCCTGCATACAATATTCTCCTGCACCCAGCCATTCTCCCTCTATTTTATTTTATTCAGGTGGTTGTTATCTGCTTTTCAGAGGCAGGAGGGACCATGCGGAGCAGTTTGTTTATGTGCACAGGGATGTCGCTTGAATCCTCCTGAGACATCTCGATGACACTTTCATGGAGGTTTGAGGTGCTCTGCAGTCCTCTGCCAAAGGTCTCCAGGGATGGCAGCCTTATTTCTTCCTCTGCGGTAGGACACTTTCCCATGTCAGTCAGCGATCACTTCGGCTTGCACCATTGCAGTACACGGGCTAGCAGCCTATGGGACACCAGCAGCAGCTGGGCTCTCTCTGCCTTTGTTACTCTCCGGAGTGAAATATCAGCTAAAATCACCCCCGCCTGTGGAAAACAGTGCCAGTATTCAGTGCCAATGCTCTATACCGCTAGATTCACACAACCGAGCAATTCCCTCATTTCCCTCACCTCTGGCGGGCCATACTCACCATGGCTGGTACTGTGACTGACATGGTGCACAAGGAATCCCAAGCAGAAGTAAGAACATAGTGCTTAAAACTTTAGGGAGCCAGGGGAGTGAGTTTCACATCTTAACTTTCGTTTTCTGTAGTGAATAGACTGACAATGGTACCTCCGTGTGTCTTATCTGCAGCTGCTGCCATTGTAGCCTTCAGGGTCTCTCCCTCCACACCCAGAGAACGCCTGAGCCAGATAAGGAGAAAAAAGAGGACTTGGGATGACATGTTCAATGAGACCCTGCAAGCCAATGTTGCATTGGACAGTCAGCACAGGGCCTGGAGGATGAACATTGAGGGCAACCTGGAGAAGGAAAGAGTGGAGAGGAGAAAAGTCTGGGAGTCCCAGCAGGAAAAGGAGAGGGAGATGCACCAGGACATAATGAGTCTGGTCAGGCAGAAAACACAGATGCTGCAGATTCTGGTGGACCTGCAGGTTCAACAGTCCTGGGCTTGCCTTCCTCTGCAGCCCATTGAGAACTCAATATTGGGACCTACCTATACCCCCCTCAACATTCTACATGGCATCAGGGGTCACTGTACTATCCCTACCACTCCGCCCTGTGGGACGTTAAAGACAATCACAGCTTCACATACACTGACCTGTGAAAACCAAAGTTGGTATATGTGTAGCTGAACTGGACATGAATATTGGTCCCAGGCAGTCTTTTACTTTCTGTGTGCGCACATACAGGTGATGGAGACGGTCAGTGAAGTTTTCCTGGATGTCCTCAAGATACACCCTGCATATCTGCTGCTGTAGACCTTGCTGCACAAGCTCTATTAAGTACTTAAAAGATTCCTGAGTCACTGAGGAGAACAATGAGAATTGTCTAAAATTGATATAGACCTTGTCCCTTCACAAGTATTGTCTTCTTATGCTCCAATACAAATGTATGAACTGGCAGATTCTCACCAGCCCCCGGTGGTTCAGCAGACAGTCATTAATGCACTAATTCTAATACAAGGGGTGAATCAGTATTTAATTTATCATCTACATCCCAGGCTCTAGTCCTCTTATCTTATTTCTTATCAAGTCCACAGTTTCCTGGGGAGGTGGACCCCAGCCTGTGCCCTTCTCTCCCCAAACCCAGAACCTTTCCCCCAGCTGGTATTTGTCTCCTCTCCTGCCCCTTTCTGCAGCTGTTTTGTTTCCTAGGTACTGCTTGGGCCTCCCAGAGTGCACCTTCATTTGCTCCTCCCTTGGAATGAGATGGGTCTGGGTTATATAGGCCCAGACCCATCCCACTCCCAGCCGCTGAGCAGACTGCTTAACTGCAGTCAGGTGCTTGGTTTTTTTTCAGATGCTTGATGATTACCTGTTCTGTCCATTCCCTCTGAAGCACCTGGCATTGGTTACTGTCGGAAGACAGGACACAGCTAGATGCACCTTTGATCTGACCCAGTATGGCCGTTCTTCTGTACTTTCCCCCTTGCTCCCC